TTATAATATCATATTATAATTATATTATAATTATAATATCATATTATTAAAATAATTATAATATTATTATAATATCATATTATATGATAAAATAATAATATTATAGTTATAAATATAATTATACTATTATTTGTTACAATATTACTATTATATTATATTATATTATATTACGAGTCTGAATTTTAGATTGAAAAGATTGTAAATTTTATATTTCATTAGGGATATTATGGGTATTATGAAAGTTTCATTAATCGTACTATACTGATTCCGACACAATCTAAAAGCTAAAGTTGTCTTCAGACTGCTTCTGATTTTGACTGTAGATTCTTGAAAAATTCATCAAAAAACACTTTTGAGGAGATTTACCAAATACTAAAATCAGCTTCTGCTACAAACAAAAGTTGATTTTTAGAGAGAAAAGCAATACCAAACTAAGCCATTATTCATAAGGCTCAAAATAACAAGAGATAAATTTAAGAAAAGAATAATGATAAAGATATGTTTCAAACATCATTTTGCTTCTCACAGTCTCACCCTCCATGTTGTTTTGAAGTCATGTCTTTTTACTTCTACACTATTTTCTTTGAGAGAAGGCAATTAGGATACTTGCAGGGAAAAAAATTAGTAGTATATATTTTTAGATGGCGAAAAATAATCTTTTTTTAGTTAATTTTATTTTTGCTCTCGAAATATGTTTCTTGTCCCATTTGGGTTTCTAAACCTTAAAACACTCTTCAATCACAAAAAGGGTTAAAGAATCAACTACAAGACACTCACATGCTTAGTTAAATAAGGTGTTTAAAACAAATCACGTATAAATAAATTGAAAAACTAAGCAAAAAAAAACAGAGAGAGAGAGAGAGAGTTACGTTCTCTCTTGTGTACGTTGACAATGACAACTAACAAAGTATGAGGTTAAATTCATTATAAAGGCATGATTTGTCTAAAGTTTCATTCACTAACAAGTAATATGAGGTTCACATAGTTAATTTCGTTGATCTTTTAATGATATATGTTTTGTGCAATGAAGGGCCAAACATGAGACAGAGGACATAGCTTAAAATGCAATTTGTAACATTTTTAAGTTATGAGACCGAAATGGGTTGAGGGGCAAAGGTTAATATATATATATATATATGCTAAAAATGTCTTTTTTTCTTTCAATTTTGGCCCCAAGAACTGCTAATTAACTCAATTTCCTCCGTGTCACACTAATGGTTCCCAAACGTTACACTTTATATTCATTGGTTACATGACCGTTAAAGATGTATGGAATTATCATGTGAGGTGCACATGATGCTTTTTTTGTGGGTAATTTGTTAAAATTAATGTTAATTTCAATTTTAACCCCAGAAAATACAAAATGTCCCATTTTGCTTCCTAAACTTTTAAATGCCACACTAAATGGTCCCTCATCTTTACAAATGTTACTTTTATTGTGAAAGTGAAACATTTTTTAATATTTTTTTGTTAAATATTATCCCGTGTTTGAATGTTTTACTATGAAAAAAAAAAAAGAAAAAGAGAGAGTCAGCTTTTGTCTTCTTTTTTGGTGTAGTTTAGTTGTCTGGAACTTGATTTTTTTAATTCTTTTTTTATTTGGATAATGAATTATTTAGTGAAATTTGATTTTAACTTGTATCCCTTTTTATTTGATAAATGAATTAATTATTGAAATTTGGTTTTAATTTCATAAATAACAGTTTATAATTATTTATTGTTGAAGAACACTTCCCTAAGCATTTTACTATTAGCACAAAAAATAATTTTGTTTGATTAGACAAAAAAAATGTTTTCGTATTTTATTGTAGTAATAAAGCATTCAAATATGGGATGGTATTTAACATAATTTAGATATTGAAAAAAATTTCAAGTAGGTGTAAATTTTGTAAAACTCGGAAATCGTTAGTGTGACATTTGAAAGTTTAGAAGGTAAAGTAAGAGATTCAATATTCCTTAAGGGTTAAAATTCAAATCAGTATATTAATTTTACTAAATTACCTTCGTTAAAAGCATCATGTACCACCTCACATGTGAATTTTATCTATTTTTTTATGGTTCTGCAATAAATGAATCGAAAGAGTAACGTTTGTAAAGTTCAAAAACGTTAGTGTGAATTGAAAATGTAAGGGACAAAATGAGGCAACAAGTATTCTTACCAAAATTGAAATTAACCTTCTTTTTAAGTTTGAAATGAAAAGTCTAGGAGGACGTTTGGTAGACAGGTAGTATTATGCAGCTAAAAACGCTTTCGTGCTAGAAAGTGGAAACATAATGCATGAGGTTTTAAGGAAAACTAAACAAGTGAATATGATATAATATTTTTTAATAAATGACAATTTAATTTTTATTTTTTTAATTTTAATAAAACGATCCCTAACATCATTAAATAGATATAATTAAATCTTTTTTTTTTTGTTTAAATCCGTCAAATTACCCACATAAAAACCACTTCTCACGTGACCCCTCACATGACCCGATTACAAGGATTATTTGCTTAAAATCACGAGTTTATTCAGTTTGGGGGTGATATTCTTCAGAAAACTTAGAATTAGCTAGCGATAGAGACAGAGGAGACCGCCGGCGTTGGGTTTGCAGACTCTAGGCGGCGGCGGCATTCTGAGTTCACGAATTCTAAGTAGCCACCTTGGGTTCACGAAATCTTGGCAGCGGCATTCGGGGTTCGCGGAGATCCGGGCAATAGCGCGGCTTTCTGATTCGTGGAGATCCGGACGGCAACGTTGGGTTTTCGGAGATATGGGTGACGACAACGGCGTGGGGAGACGGAGAGGGAGAAGAAACTCCAATCTGAACGAGCGACAAGTGGCTCTTGATTCACAACGGCGGGGACGAGGGGGCTTCAATCTAGTGTTGACGGGAAAGGGTGGGTTCAATCTCACGACGGCAAGGGAAGGAATTCCGATCTGAACAAGCGACATGTGGCTCTTGCTTTGCGACGGTGGGGACGAGAGGGCTTCAATCTAGTGTTGACGGGAAGGGTGGGCTCAATCTCACGACGGCAAGGGAAGGGAACTCCGATCTGAACGACGACAAGGGACGAAGGGGGGATGCGATCTCGCCACGGTGAGAGAAGGGTGGCGATCTTGCGACGGAGGGGGGCGGGGGCTCGATATGTGCACAGGGGGTGGTGGGGAAGGGTGTGTGGAGGAGTTCTCACTGTGCAACTCTGTCCAATGATCTGCAATAACCCTTTTCTTTGATGAGACCCTTTTGTTTGGGTTTCTATGATTTTCCTGCTATTTGGTTTGGGTTCTATGATTTTGTTTGGTTTATGCTGTTGCGATTTTGGTTTTATCGTGGAAGTGTGGCAGATAGACAGTAATGGTTGCCAGCAATGTTGACGATGGAAGAGTTTGATTTTGTTTCTGGTTTTTTTTTTTTTTTTTCAGGTTTGAAGTTTTTTTTGTTTTTAATTTTTTTCTTTTGAGGGTGTTTTGGTCTTCTCACTAAAAAAGAGAGCACATGATGGCTTACGTGAAAGAGTATGTTAACAACGTAACGGATTTTGACGGAAAAGATTTGATTGACAATGTTTTGAAAGTTTTCATTTTGCTAAAATTAAAAGAATAGAGATTATACTGTCACTTATTAAAATGTTAGAATCATCCGTATTAGTTACCCTATTTTACATAAAAATTATAATATGTATATATATAGTGGTGGAATTTCGGGTGGTGAGCATGTTTGAAGCCTAAAATTTTTTTAGCTCGGCGAGCAAGCACCTATCGTCGTCCGTCCACCTAAAAATCATGGGTTCGGGCTCGGGCAGCCCGAGGAAAAAGCATTCCCCGCAGCCCGCCGCCGGTGGGGGGCCATGACCGCCGAACGTTGTTTTTTTTTTTTGAATTTTTTACCGTAATCCGAAGCCTGACCTAAGTGAGTGATTCGAGTCGGGCTTAGTAGTCGACAATAGTGAAATGTTTGATTTGATTCAGTGGTGGAGGACACGAGCATTAACTTGGTCGATTCTAACTCGACTGGCAATGGATATTTTTTCGATCCTAGTCTCCACTGTTTCATCTGAACAAGCCTATAGCACGACCGGTCGAATACTTGAGGAACGTAGAAACGTATTGCAACAGGACATTGTTGAAGCTTTGGTGTGCATTAAGGATTGGGATCGTTCCGATCAACGCTTACACGATACAATTTCACCGGCAAGCCAAGAATGGATCGATGAATTTAATAGATTAACTCTTAATTTTGAAGACGATCCTTCAACTTCAAATTAAATTATATTATTGTTTTTTGTAAATATTTATTTACTTTGTACAGTGTTGTTGTAATCTTGTATAGACTTTGTAAGTTCGTCAAATTTGTAATTCGTCCCAGAATAATTGCACTCTCTTTTCCTTACCAAGTTTTTATCATAATTGAGTTTTTCTTAATAAGGTTTTTAACGAGGCAATCGTGAATTATAAATTTAAAAATTAATAAATAAATAATTTTTTATATAGTTCATATTCATTTCAAATTTCAAATTACAATCTCCCTTATAATTTTTATACAATTTTACAATGAATAAATTAAAAATTATTTATATACATACCATATATAATTAATAAACAAAATTATATATAATATATATAATAGTATATAAATATATATAAAAAAAAACATTAAAAAAATTTTTGGACACTCGGGCGGTCTCGGGCAGTCAAAACCTGCCTGAAACTTGTCCATGATCTTTTTCGAGTCGGGTCGGGCAACCAGAAAATTTAGGCTCGGATGGACTCGGTCATCATGTAAAAATTAAGAATTTTTAGTGATCGCGGGCGACCGTCCAAGTTTCACACTATATATATATATATATATATATCATTTGTCCGACTGAAAGGACGTAATGAGATAGAAAGGGGAAGATATAATGGTAAAGTAAATCCTTATTATATATGTTGTCTGCTTTGTAAAAACCAAATAGAAAGCCAGATAAGGATTAAAAAGAGCCAAGACAAAAAGCCAGCTTGATGCCTGATAACTGAGTTTCAAATAAGAACAACGTTTCCATAACACATAAACGGAATCAACCAATCAGGTACAGGTGAAAACTGATAATAAGTTCAATTAAAAAAATGAAAATAGGTACACCAAATACTCTTCCAAAGTTGAGCAACCAAATAAAACTTACTGAACAGAGACTGGCTATTATCTTAATGACATCATTCCACCAAGAAACAAATGAAAAAATAACAAGAAAAGAAAAGACATTGATAGAGTCGGACAAAAGGCAGAAAAGAATTTCTTCGATGTAAAGAAGGATCTTTAGCTAAAGTTGAAGAACATTTTCAGTGTCCTGGCGCATGATAAGCCATGAAACTTAGCTTTCTTGACATCACAAGCCATTCGATCCCGTCCCTCTAACGTTTGATCAAGTTCATGGCATTGAACCAAATCCAGAAATAGAGATACTAAAATCATGATACCTAGTTTCTTCATTTCCTCGGACTATACAGAGCAACATCCAACTTTTTTCAAAGCAGAGACATCATCTTTGGTGCCAACATTGATAGTTTGCCCCTTGGGCAAGGCTGCTGGGTCATCCCCAACCTCAAGGGCTTTCCTGCTGACAACTCGATATATCTGAGTGAGAACTTCAGTGAATGAGTTTTCCACATTCAAGGACTCCAGGGCAGAGGTTTCCATGAAGAAAGTGTTCTCCCTTTCGGCAAACGCCTTGGCATCTTCTGTGGAAATTGCACGCAAGTGACGCAGGTCCGCCTTGTTCCCCACGAGCATAATCACAATGTTGGCATCAGTGTGATCCCGAAGCTCCTTTAACCATCTCTCGACGTTCTCAAAAGTGACATGCCTAGTCACATCATAGACCAGCAATGCACCAACAGCTCCTCGATAGTACGCACTTGTTATTGCACGGTACCTGTGGGAAGAAAGGTAGATAATGAGACAAACATAACAAGTTATCCAAGCAACAAACTCTCTTAGAAAGACTCAGCAGGCGTTATTTGACTCCCAGGAATTAAGAGAACAGATAGCAGCAAAAATGATGTGCAGGCAGCCCATATAGTAAATTGAAGCTTTTTTGCGATTTTTACAAATTATTCCCAATTTTCTTCACCTCAAGATGTAACTAATCTCAATAACTCACACAACAATAAACGTTGGTCAAATTAAGAAACTGAATCCATCTTACTACAGAGATAATGTAGGAACCCATTCCACAAGCTCCATATTATCCTGCCATTTAAAGCCATTTTGTTGCTAGTAGACAGTCCAATTCCATTTTTTTTCCCTTGCATCGTTTGATGAACATGAAATCTAAACAAAAACTTGAGAAAATCCTGGAAATAACACAATTCAACCAATCTCCAAACAAAGCAGCCTATCAATATTAGCGAAATCTAGCTCGTCAGTGACTATGTTCTCCCACATTTACGAAATTACCCCATACTAAGTCCTTGTATTTCGGAAGAAAAAAGAAAAACAAGCAATGTTCTGTCTTCATGTGTCGTTGAACAAACAGATCAAAAAGCTCAATTTAGGAACCATGAATTAGATTAGATATCAGATATAATAAAAACCAAAATCTGAAACGCCTAAGTTTCGAAATTTGTACCACACATGTAAGGAAAAAAAAAAAGAAACAAACTTTTGTTCCAAGAACAAAATAATTAAGGATCCACCCACAACACATTCATCAAAAAAGGAAGGAAAAAAAAATCCTTGCCTCCCAAATGTCCAATTACCATCAATTAAATCCAAACGCAGAGATTCCAGACAACATAAACAAACAAACATTTAAATAGCTCTTATAATGGAGAACAAATGCCACTCACGCAATTGTCAAACAATCAAATCGGAAATTCATGGAGAGAGAGAGAGAGAGAATAGGAGACCTTTCTTGGCCAGCAGTGTCCCAAATCTGGGCCTTGACGACCTTATCGTCGACCTGTATACTGCGAGTGGCGAACTCAACGCCAATGGTGGATTTGGATTCAAGGCTGAACTCGTTGCGCGTGAATCGAGACAAGAGATTTGATTTTCCCACACCCGAATCCCCAATTAGAACCACCTTGAACAGGTAATCGTAATCGTCGTCCGTTCTGTACGCTCCCATTTTGATTTTCTTTTCTTCAAGTTTACCTCTCTGACTCTGAGTAGTCTTTTTTTTTTTTTTTTTTTTTTGGCAAAAAACAATGGGGGAAGATCAAAGAGAATTCTCTCTCTTATTGGGGTTTGAAATTAGGGATTTGGATTGATCAGAGAAATGCTGTGCCTGTGTCCTTGCGAACAAAAAGCAGATCTTGGATTTTTTTAGCGAGAGAGAGAGAGAGAATGTGTGTTTTATTTTGTACCGTTTGAAATCAAAAGTTAGAGAGTTGGATGCAGCACGAGAGGGAGAGACATTCAAATCTTAATTATAGTATTCATTTATAATATTTTTCAATTAACTAAGAATTATTTACCAAATTAAATGATTTCATTTTTAATTAAGAATTATTCACAAAAATATATGTATGTTTTTATTTTAACTTCATTTTTTAAATATATTTTAGCGTCTCCTAAAAAGAGTATCTTTCCATTAAAAAAAAGGTATATCTAGTAAAGTCAAAATAGATTTTATGGCAAAAATTAGCAAAAACTTAGTGCATTAATCTCACACTAAATTTATCAATCATTGTATGAATTTGGCTTTACATTTATTTCCTAAATTTTGGTTAGATCGATTTTCCTTGGCTAAAATAAAATTGAAGATTAGATCTCGTTCAGTTCGTTGATTTGAGTTTTTAATTCGAGTTGAGATGTGATTATATTAGAGCTTTTAACTAAAGCAAAAAAAAAAAAAAAAATTAAATGTGACTTTTTTGATAGTTTTAAATTATAACAAAACTGGAATTGAAAACTCAAATCGGTAAAATGATCGAAAGTTATAGTGACTCTAGTGTCTGAAACCACAATTTCAAGTTTCAACTCCAAACTTGAAAAGCAAAAAAATAATAGGCACTATCCTATTTGATTACACATTTTGAACTTTGCTAAGACATGACACGAACAACTTACGGCGTTCCCTAGAGGTGTCAATTGGGTCGGGCCGTCCATGGACGGCCCGGCCCAGCCCACTACAGTAGCAAATTCGGCACGGCCCGGCCCTGTACTGTTATGGGCCGGGCCGGCACGGCACTCCAGAAGGGCCTGGGTTGGGCCTCATGTTTGAGGCCCGCAGCCCAGGCACGGCCCAGGCCCGCCCAAGGCCCAGGCACGGCCCGCCAAGGCCCAGGCACACGAAGGGCCAGGCCCGTGACATTAAATTTTAATGAGGTATGAGGCATTTTAGGACCAATTGGCCGACCTATGCCGTCTGGTCAACCAATCATTTTCTTATAATTATTCATATTAATTCAATAAAATCACATTTTTAGGGCATATGATATATTACTTTTTTTTGTCATCAAATTTGAAATTAAAAAAAATCCTAAAAATATTGCTAATCATAAGTGAAACTCAAGTGCATTAAGAAAATTAGGTTAAGATTGAGTTTAGACATAACAGAATCTTCTAGAAGCACTTAGGTTTTGTAATTTACTTATCCTAAAATACTGCACTCTTTTTTCCTTCGCTAAGGTTTTGTCCCGATCTCCCCACGAGATTTACTTGACAAGGTTTTTAACGAGTTGATCATTTATGTGTACTTATTTGTATTATCTCAATTCAATAAAATCATATCTTTTGGGGACATATGATATATTTTCTTTTTTTTAATTAAATATTGAAAAAAAAATTAAAAGGGCCAGGGCCGGCCCGTGAAGGGCCTTGGCCCAGGCCCGGCCCTGGCCCTCATGGACTAGGGCCAAGGGCCAGTGCTGGGCCTGAGGGTTTCTTCTCAGGCCCGGCAGTGCAGGGCCGTGCCAGGCACGGCCCAGGCCCGCCATGGGCCTGGGGTTAGAAGGGCCGTGCCGGCCCGGCACGGCCCTTTTGACATCTCTAGCGTTCCCTGCTTTTTTTTTCTTTTAATTATTGGTTTGAAAGAAAATTGAGAATGAATTTATGAGAAAAAAACACTGTAACAAAAAAAATAAATTTAACTTTTACGAGAAAAAATAATGTAAAAATATGATTCAAATCCGCAAAAAGAAATGAAGTATTTTGAGGCGAGAGAATAGAATGGTGGGCAACGGAAGAATGTTCAGGAAGGGCAATTACAGAAACTGAAGGGGAAGCGTGAACGAACGACACAAAATGAAAAATAAAAGAATCAACATAAACGACATAAGTTGTAGCACTATCTTTTTGAAATTATAATCTACGTATGCACATTCACAAGCGTGTATAAAAACAAGCATGACTAATTAAAGCTAAAGGTTTAAAAACAACAAAAACAGCTTCAACCACACGATCAAGGGAAAAAGGATTGTTGTTGCACGGCTTCTATTTGTCGTTTCCCAAATATGAAGCAAATTAAATGTAGATTTCTCCTGAAATTTTCACTGCCATTGAATTTCTACCAGAAATAGCCTACAAATAAAATGGCCAATAGCTGGCAATTATATTACATATAAGACTGAAGACATCAATGCGCTTCTGATGTTATTACATAGTACATACCAATGGAAGAATACATAATCATTTCTATTATTGTTCTCACCAAATGTCAAAGAATAATTGCATCATCAAAATTGAGATGGATTAAATAATGAATGTTACACTCTGTTCCGGTAGGTATACGGAGATTGTATCTGGTAAAGGTACAAAAGTATATGAAAGAAAGGCTTTCATTCCTTCGGCTTTTTACTCATGCTTTTACGTTTTCCCACATCCAGGTACTTCTTCCTCAACCGGATGGCCTTCGGTGTAACCTACACACAATTTAAAGACAATATCATACATGCAACGCAAACTTGCAAACCGGGAAAATAGATTAGGAAATAACTTAGGTCTTTATAAACTTATCTACAACTTATCTCCTAACTACTTCAGTGTTAGACCTCTGGTTCGAAAAATCTATGTTAGGAGAGTCAAGAGTGGTAAAGGTATGGGCCCACGCCCAAATGAGATGGATCAGGATGGGCCAGGCCCAAATGAGATGGATCAGCCCAGGGAAGGGGGCGTGGCCAGCAAGGAGAGGCCGTATGGGGAGTCGTGCAAATTGGTTAGAGGATGAGTGGTTATAGGGGAGCATCGAGGAAGGAGGAGGGGGCATGAAGAAATTGGTACTGGATTGATAACTGGGAGGTTGTGTGATCTCGGCCGCAGGGGTGGCGGCTGACCCAGCTAAGGTAGAGGCCGTTTTAGCTTGGCCCACACCCAAGAATGTCCGTGGGGTTAGGGGATTCCTGGGGTTAGCCGGCTATTACCGGCGATTCGTTCGTAACTTCGGACTTTTGGCTAGGCCCATGACCGACTTTCTCAAGCGTGGTGAGTTCAAATGGACTAAGGAGGCAGGCGCCGCATTTGATGCACTTAAGCACGCCATGACCACTCTGTCAGTCCTGGCAATGCTAGATTTCTCTAAGCCCTTCGTGGTGGAAACAGATGCATCTGGCTCGGGGTTGGGCGCAGTGCTAATGCAGGAAGGGAGGCCCATAGCTTTCTTCAGTAAAATGTTATCGGGGACTACGCGGCTCCGATCAGTGTATGAGCGCGAGCTTATGGCAGTCGTTTTGGCGGTTTAAAAGTGGCGCCATTACTTGCTTGGGCGCCACTTTGTGGTGAGATCCGATCAGCAAAGCTTAAGATTCCTCGTGGACCAAAGGCTCCTACCTCCCGAACACCTCCGTTGAGCCATTAAGCTTTTTGGATATGATTTCGAGCTGTAGTATAAGCAGGGAGCTGCGAACCGGGTAGCTGATGCGTTGTCCAGGCACGGGGAAGACGCAGTGATGGAGTTTACTGCCATGTCCATTCCGCAACTAGTGAATTGGATTGAGATTCGGCAGGAGCAGAGGCAGGATGAGGAATGCGCAGCATTACTAGGTAAGTTGGACAAAGGTGAGGAAGTTGCAACCGGATTCTCATTACACCGGGACCTCTTGTGCTACCAAGGCAGGGTTGTCTTGCCATGGGGTTCACCATGGATATGCCGGATGTTGCACGAATTTCACAACTCGGCGTTGGGGGGACACTCTGGTTTTTTGCGGACATATAAGTGTGTGGCATATAACTTGTTTTGGAGGGGAATGAAGGGAGACATCTGCGAGTATGTTGCTAACTGTTCGGTTTGTCAACGCTCAAAATCAGAGGCTTTGGTGCCTGCGGGGCTACTGCAACCATTGCCTATTCCAGCGAAGGTATGGGAGGATATCTCCATGAACTTTATTAGTGGCTTACCTAGGTCGCAAGGAATGGACACTATCCTAGTGGTAGTTGACCGGTTGTCCAAATACGCCCATTTCCTGCCACTATCTCACCCGTATACGGCTAAGAAGGTGGCTGAGGTGTTCATCCGAGAAGTGGTAAGGCTCCACGGCATTCCTTGCTCCATCGTCACGGATCGAGATCCGCTATTCATGAGCTTATTTTGGAGGGAACTGTTCCGGGCGCAAGGTACTCACTTGAGTCGCAGCTCCGCTTACCACCCCGAGTCCGATGGACAAACTGAGGTCGTGAACCGGTGTTTAGAAGTGTATCTCTGTTGTTTCGTGAGTGACAAACCTCGTTGGTGGCTCCAGTATTTGCCGTGGGCCAAGTTCTGGTTCAATACCACCTATAATGCCTCAACGAGGCGCTCCCCCTTTCAGGTGGTCTATGGTCGGGATCCTCCTACAGTTTCCAGATTCCAGGATTCTCCCTCGGCCGTGGAGGATGTCAACCAACAGCTTCAGCAATGGAATGAGTTCTTGGATGTTCTTAAGGGACATTTAGTGCTAGCACAGCAGCGTATGAAAAGGTTTGCCGATGCTCATCGTCGAGAACTTTCCTTCTCTCTTGGGGAACGTGTTCTCCTCAAGTTGCGGCCTTACCGCCTCAAGTCCTTGGCGCGGAGGCCGAATGAGAAGCTAGTCCCCCGTTTTTATGGCCCCTTCGAGGTACTGGAAAAGGCAGGCGAGGTAGCATATCGCCTCCAGCTACCCGCAGAAGCAAGGATTCACCTAGTTTTTCACGTTTCCCAGCTGAAACCATTCAAGGGCAGTGACCCCCGGTGTCAGCCTCTTCCACCTCAACTCTTGGACGAGTTGGAGCTACAGGTTGAACCTGCCGAAGTCATCCAGGGCTAGTGGACCTCCTTGGGCGGGAAGAAAGTGGCAGAGGTATTGGTTAAATGGAAGGGTCTGCAGGATTGGGAGGCTACGTGGGAGCTTCTGGATGTGTTCCACGCCCAATTTCCCCACCACAACCTTGAGGACAAGGTTGTCTTCGAAAGGGGGAGTGATGTTAGACCTTTGGTTCGAAGAGTCTATGTTAGGAGAGTCAAGAGTGGTAAAGGTATGGGCCCACGCTCAAATGAGATGGATCAGGATGGGCCAGGCCCAAATGAGATGGATCAGCCCAGGGAAGGGGGTGTGGCCAGCAAGGAGAGGCCGTATGGGGAGTCGTGCAAATTGGTTAGAGGATGAGTGGTTATAGGGGAGCATCGAGGAAGGAGGAGGGGGCATGAAGAATTTGGTACTGGATTGATAACTGGGAGGTTGTGGGATTCCTCGAAAATCCTTCTCTATCTTATTTCCTTCTTGTATTTCTTCCATTTCTGTTGTTCCAAGAGCTACGATTGAGCTCCTTGTTGCTGGTGAAGTATTTTGAATTCAATAAAAGGGCTTCTAGCCGATTCTTGTTTCCTAATTGTTAGCTAATCGTAACAGTAGAGGCTAGGATCCTAACATTCAGCATGATACCAGAATGATGAGTCGCGGAGTTTATGGCCACACCTAACTATGTTTGATTTGTGTTAGGAACCTAACTCAGAAAATCAGCCAAACACTAATTCCACACTCACACGCCAAAAACAGCAAGAAAATGAGAGTAATAGGAGGGAATTTTATTAATTCAATCAGCCAAAAACACCAAATTACACTGAAATATAAAAGATAGATTGGAGATTTCGAGCTCTCCGGCACTCCCAGCCGTTCCGGCAACACACCCAACACTCAAAAGATGAAAATACTCACCCCCTAAACCTACTCCCCTTCCCCCATTCAAATTACTCCCATATTAGCCCCCTTGCCACGTCAGCCCATCCTAGCCACTTTCAATATTTTCCCTTAGACCCCTAACTCTATGTTTTCTACCCGTTTTGCCCCTCCTAGTGTAAACCTGCTTCAGTAGGGGTCTAACAATTTGCTAACAAGAAAATGACATAATTTATTCAATTTACCTCAATAAGCTCATCGGAGGCGACGTATCCTATAGCTTCTTCAAGAGTCATCTGCAACCGAATGAACACAACATTAGTAAATAGTAACGACAAGTCACATATAGATAAATGAAGCTCTGTTACCTTTTCTAAAATTCTGTGAGTCCCGTTTTATATGGTATTATATTCTTTTCCTAACTCTGAATAGAGTGGAAAGGGAGTGAGGTTTATGAAGGACAATAAGTCCCCATCTGCTTTTGTACCAATATGATTTACTCGACACATGGCAAAACCAAAAATTTCTCAATATTAATCAACGTCTTCTGATACAAGGATCGCCCATACATTCTTTTTTAGTTATTTGGATATTAACCTGGGGAACTTTACATATTTTACTTTTAATTTTTAGGTGGAGTTTGCCTGTACATATATGACATTATGACTCCGACTAAAAGTTAAAGCATGACTAACTAAATGACCGACTGGTGAAAATTAGTTACTGACATGATTGCAATTTGCAACAATCATAAGAAATAAGAAATTGCAAGACAAAACCAACAATGAAATGAAGTTCGATGAATACATACAAGACGAGGAGGAGATAATTTCACATTCTCATCCTTGCAAGCTGCACGCATATTTGTAAGTTCCTTGTTCCTTACTGGGTTAACCTATATAAAGGCAAATGTTCCAACGTCAATAATATTAATTATACATAATCCCTAACATATAAGGCAACAAAATCTACTCCTTACATCTAAATCTGTGTCCCTTGAATGTTCACCAATTATCATGCCATCATATGTCTGCATAATAACAAGCAAAAATGCAACAGTTAAAACAAAGGGGGGGGGGGGGGGGGAATCACCCACTTCGACCTGAAACATCCTTGAACATAACAACTATGTTTACAATATTTAGAACAACTATGGATCAATTTTTATACTCTTTACTCCTCTCATTCGTTTTCTCCTCTGGTTGAGCTTCACAATATTATTTTTAGCCACCCAGTATGAGTCGAGCAAAACAGGCATACAAATGGGCATGCTTATAGAACAATGCTGATTATACTAGCTAGTGCACTGAAAGATGGGGCGCTCCAGAAGTCACTCTGTAATAACTACGGAGATTTAGGAAGCAAAATGACAAGTATCCATAAAGGAGAATAGGTTATATATGAACCAACCTCCATCCCGGGAGTCGCAAAAAGAGTTCCACGAGCTTCTAAACTCATCAGTGCATAAGCTGTGATTGTACCATAGCCCATTGACACCTGTCAAATTGATGTTAAAAGGGGTAGGAAATAAATGTCACAGAGTCATCTTAATATCGTTTGAAGATATAGACGGCATAAATACAGTACATCCTTATCTCTAAATGCATCTTAACGAGATTAGCAATAATCTAAGCATGGAGAATTGGAGAAGAAATTTGACTTGCGAGTATTTATGATATATTCAAAGGACGGAGAGAAATTAACTTTTTATGAGATAAAACAGTTTCCTCATAAAGTTACGGGCTATATAACGCTTGAGAATATAGATATAAAGTAACAGTCTAAAAGTAACTAGCTGAGGATCAGGAGGCCAAGGAATGACGAACCAAAACTCCTTTGCGGACATTTCCGAGAGGGCCTCGATAGTTTTCATACTCTGAGAAATAGGCGAAATATATATGAGGAAAAAAGCGGCACGTGACTAGAGGAGTCAAAATGGTGATAGAAGGAGGAGAAATAAGATAAGCCTTACTTAAGAAAGCACGATGCATAAATCCATTTCCACGTGTGTCACTGCTAAAAACACTCCTATAACCAACCAAGCCCCTGAAGACACGACAAAAGGGAAATTACTTCTGATGAAAAAGTTGTTAAGAAATGACGATAAAACGACAGTATCTTGGAATTTAACGTTCAATGTGATAATTGACCGTAAGGATTAAAAGAATACTTAGTAGTAATAATTACAAAATATGACTTTAGCTGTACTGTAATGGAGAAACAAATCAACATCTTTTACAACATCAACCAAAATGGAATTTTAAGATCAATTAGAAGCAAACTATTGATGTTAGGAGAACAGAATAACAACCTCGAAGGACACGTCAAACATAATCTAGTCCTGCCATCATTTCCTGGAACCGGACCCATGTCAGTAACTTCGGCTCGCCTATGAGACAGGGCTTCCATAATTAGACCGACATGTTCCTCATTTATCTGCAATGACAACCAAGTAATAGGGGTAAATAATTTCTCACAGATAAGATAAAGGCATTAATAAGCCTGCAACTGTTACCTCAATAGTAACTTCTTCAATTGGCTCGAGCTTTTCACCATTTTCATTTTTATACCTGATTCAAGCAGAATACAGAACTCAGAACCTGCCAGTTCTCAGAACAGATCCAACAATGCGCAAACAATGTGCTTTTAACAAGAATTACAAGGACCTCCCTCACCTCTTTTATAGACAAATTATATAATACTACTTACGTAATAAATTTACATTTCAGAAAACTCTTAGGAGATTTTTATGTTTGGCCCCTAATATTAGTTTCTTTCAGAATTTAATGGTAGTACCTTTACATTTTGGAATATAAACCACTTTCATCACTTGAAATTTGTCTGATTTTGCAAAATGAATGTCATATTGTCGATTGCATTATCAATACATTAATAGGGCAAAAGGAATTACACACGTATGATGTATCCCAAAACTCACATCACTTTAGGTGGTGACACAGATAGTTCAAAACCTTCACGCCTCATATTCTCAATTAAAATACCTGTTACACCATGAAAACTGCAATTAGCAGATGTCGAAACTTTATTTCCAATGCACGTGGCTCAGTGGCAAGTTCTTCTGGGCTCAGTATTTCAGAAGTGAAACAGACGATTGCAAGTTTAACAGGGACATACCCAGTTGAAGTTCTCCTCTACCCTGAACTTCAAATGATTCTGATAATCCTGGAATAACATTAATGGCAAGATTGGTTTCTGCTTCAGCCATTAACCGATCACCAATTTTTCCTCCAGTCAACTATTCTTGTATCAACAATTTCTGTTAGCTCGTGACAGATGCAATAATTGAACATGATAATGAAATTGCAAAACCCAAAAATTTGAAGGCACTGTATGTTATTCTTGCAAGGGATATTATGATAAGTGCTATAAGTCATGGTGTTTGTAGGCCACAAATGAAACTTCTGGAAAAGAAATTATAAAGCCTCTTCTAAAGACAGTAGAAAGTGTACTGCAAGAACATGCAAGGATGTAAAGAAAATTAAGGGGAAAAAAATTAGTGATTTTTTTCCCCTTTTTGTAGACACTGAAAAAAAGAAAAAACTATATTATTACTCATTTATCTAGTCGCCATTGTCCCACACCTATAGTAAGGAGCCAATTTCTTATGGAAAGACAAACACTAAACAGTTTTTTTTCCCACTCGATCAGTCAACAGTAATTTGATTGTATGTCTTCACACTCATTTAGAAATCAAAAGATTTATAACTTTCATGGTACTAGTAATATAACACAAAACCAACACATAGGCATCTTTTTAAGCAGGTTCTAGTACTATGTACCAGACCACCAGACATAATCTGAATTAAAAACTAAAAGAATAAATAAATGAACAACTAAAAAAGACCAGTCATTGATTCTTTCCAACAACCGAAAGAGAGACCAAATAAGCCAACAAAAGAAGCAAGACAGTGAAAATAATATCCGGAGTAAGAAGCCAAAAAGGGAAACTTACATGGGAACCATCACGACCAGCCAATGGTGAGTCATTGACACCAAAAGTCATGGAAATAGTTGGTGGATCCAATTCAACAGTTGGCAAGGGGGTTGTGACCTGGGATACGTGCATTCAAGTTCAAAACAGAAACAAGTGGCTATTGTGATTGCTATTGCATTGGAGAAGGTTATAAATAATTTAAAACCTCGGAGGGGATTGCAAGAAGACTAGAGTAGCAAACAATAATCTTAAGGGCTAAGGCTGCGAACAGATTGTTGTCTCAATGCACAGATGTTGAGATGAAAGAATAATATATGTAATGTTTTACTTATACTTCAGAAGTTCAGAATGAATAGAGGAATAAGGGAAAGAAACAATAATCGGTAAGACTATTCCCCTTAAGTGGAACTTCACAAATAAAGGAGGAGAGAGGGGCAGGGCATTTGGTTTAAAACGGGGACAACTTTGTAGAATAAACATTAGCTGTGTTAATACCTCAGTATTTGCAACTGTGTGGCCTATAGATGGATTTCCCAACCCAGCCATTGATATAATGTCACCTGCACCAGCAGCTTCAATTAGAACCATGCTAGTACCCTTCTTCTTCATCAATTTCGTAACCTGAAAGTAACCAAAAAAAAGAAAAAGCAAAAACAAAAACAAACAAAAACAAAATTAATGAGTATCAATGAGTTCTCGCATATAATGGTCACATTTCTCGAAGACTAAGTATTTATGTCCAATTTAAGCTATTCAATAAGAAAGTTGTTAAAAATATCAAACAAAGTTTTGGTTTTGGATGTGCAAGTAGAACGTAATTTTAATTAATAAGATTTTCATTTGGCTGACCACCATCTTGCATAGTTTGTTACACAGTAGACAGTATAAACCTAAAAGAAACCAGGGCAGCAGTTGCAAATTTTACTTTACCTCCCCTTTTTGAAAAGATAAAAAATAAGAAAAATAAGAAATGAAAACTTTCCTGAAAGAATGAAAGAGACCCCCAAAAAAAAAACTACAGAAGAAACAAAATGAGAAGAGAACAAGGACTTGGCATTTCAAAATTACAAAGCCTATCTTAAAGAATTAAAGACAAGAGGAAGAAGTGTTTTACACATTAAATATATACTGTACGCTACTTAAAAAATCAATATGAGTGCCAAGATATAATTCTTTACTTTCAACTACAATCAGACAAGCTTTCAAACCTTTCCTTCTTCGATTTTATTAACCCCCGAGTCTTTGAAGCAAAGTCCATGGACTTTATCACCAACACGGATAACTCCAGAAGAAACCCGCCCAGTCAAGATTCGTCCAAGATAAAAATCCTTTTCCATCATAGAAACCTAAAGTGCAATATTATGTACACAACTATTATACAAGTGGAATGACAAAATATCAAAGATGAAACTCAGAAAATAAATGTAGATTTTTACAATAGAAAATTTGCATAAACTACTACTTTGCAATAAAATGACCAAAGTCAAAAGGATATAATTGAACTTCCAATAGGTTGTTTAAGCAAGAATACCAACCAACATTTGGAAAGGCGCATCAAGATTTGCAATTGGTGGAGGAACATGTCGTATGATGGCATCAAGCAACTGCGACATATTTCTCGCCTCAAGAGGAGGATCTTTGGTGAACGAGGTGGAAGCCCATCCCTCTTTAGCAGATGCATACAAAACTGGAAAGTCCAGCTGCTCCTCTAAAAGATTAAACAAACATCAATTTAAAATCTTATTTTACTTATGTAAAAGAGCACTGAGAATCACAACAAAAGAAGGTGAATCTAAGGGACCATGTCTCTACTTCTAAGATTTCCGCACCTGTAGCACCCAGATTTGCAAAAAGATCAAAAACCAGACTCTCAACTTCATTACATGTCTCCTCAGAAACTGCATTAATGGTAACCAATAACCGAATTCAATGACAACTCCAAACAGAGAATAGTGCAAATAATTATAATTGCAATACAGTAGCAGTTTTTACCAAGAGGAACAGAAAGGATATAGTTTGAATGTGAACAAAAGAAACAGAGATTGTGCTGTGCATATGTACCTGCAGGACGGTCTACTTTGTTAAGAAGAAGAACAGGGCGCAACCCATATTTCAAAGCTTTTGCAAGTACAAACTTGGTTTGTGCAAGTGGCCCCTCACCAGCATCAACAACTAGTACTGCTCCCTCAACCATCCCCACAACCCGCTCAACCTGTAAGTCCATTTAACACAATATTGTTCAACCGTCAAAACAAGATTTTGATCAACTTTAAGCACTCGAAAAAAAAAAAGATGGGGTTCCGTTTTAAGCTAGAAGCAACTGCTTACCTCTCCACCAAAATCTGCATGTCCAGGAGTATCGACCATGTTCAGCTCATTTTCCTTCCACGCTATGGATGTAACCTGAAAAAGAAAATGCAGCATAAAATTCTGAGATTCTATTAATAAATTAATATGTAGAAGCAGCTGACTAGAAGTACAAGACTACAAGGACAAGAGTGACCCATCAGGTACTGAGCACCAAGTTCTAAATTTGAAAATGGACAACGTTAGTCACGGAGTTAGGTAGTAAAGGTAGAACCAAATATAGAAAGAAAGATTTATGCTCTATGGATGTAACCTGAAAAAGAAAATGCAGCATAAAATTCTGAGATTCTATTAATAAATTAATATGTAGAAGCAGCTGAATAGAAGTACAAGACTACAAGGACTAGAGTGACCCATCAGGTACTGAGCACCAAGTTCAAAATTTGAAAATGGACAACGTTAGTCACGGAGTTAGGTAGTAAAGGTAGAACCAAATATAGAAAGAAAGATTTATGCTCTCTCTCTCTCTCCTGCTCTTTTCTAGAAATAAGTGAAATTATTCATTTCAAGGCTCATGAAAGTTCACCAACTTCCCAACCATATCAATGGTAGTGTCGTAGCGATTGTACGACGACCAAACTGAGCATCTTTAGCTTTATTGACAGATTTTTTAGTTCCTAATTGCGCCATAAAATTGATAAAAAGAGCTTAAAATCCATAGTTGTAATCACAGCAAGATTCTAGCTTTGCAAAATAACTAATACCAGTTTATTACTATGATGAGTACTGAGTAAAGATCAAAACTTGAAAGCAATTAGAACATCATTTTTGCCCTAAAATTCAAACTAAAACCTCGAAATCGAAACACTAAGGCTTCATTCGCTTGGTGGATTCGAGTACCAAGATTCGAGTTTTCAATTTGAGCTGTGACATTTTCAGCTTTTCACTTTAAATGTGACACTTTTTTAGAGTAGAAATCTAAAATTGAAAACTCGAATCGGTGAAATGAACTTTAACTCGAAAATTCCCAATCAATCGAGGACCAAAAAAGAGAGAGAAAGCGCTGACCTTGGAGGCGATGGTGATGCCGCGCTCGCGCTCGAGGCTGATGGAGTCCATGGCGCGCTCGTGGGGGATGTCGGCGCCGCACTGGCGGAGCAGCCGGTCCATGAGGGTGGTCTTGCCGTGGTCGACGTGCGCGATCACCGCCACATTTCGGAGCCGGCTGGGATCCAACGAGCTGTTCGGCGAGGTGGAGGAGACGGCGGCGGCGTCCGGAAACGCCGAGAAGGCGCGTGATAGTGACGCGCCGTGCGGGGAGAGTAGGTAGGGTCTTCGAGCGAGAGGCGGAGAAGAAGAGTGGGTGGTGGATGATAGAGATTTGCGCGCGGAGGACCAGAGCGATCGAATCAACGGACCCGCCATTTTCCCCACGCCCCGCGAGAGAAATGGCTTCAGGTTCTGGCCCGTCCTTTGGATTCAGCTGTTTTATTAGGGTTTAACGTTGTTTACATACAAACTAGTGAAGAAGATTACATACAAATAATGCTGAAACTTTGAACGGCGACCCGTTACCGTCCAAAAAAAATTGATTTTAAACCCGATCCGACTCATCTAAATTTTTTGGACCGCCCAAGCTCGAAAAAATTTGTTGACGGATCGCGAGCTTAATTTTAGCTGCCTGAGACTGGTCAGACAGCATGAGTCTGTTTAAATTTTATATATAAATAATTATTAAGTTATTTTGTATTAAAATTATATAAAAATTAAAATTAATATTTAACACATATTATTAACATAATTTAATAAATTAATTTTGTATATTAATTTTTAAATTTGTAATTTATGATTGTCTCATTAAAAACTTTACTAAAAAAAATTCAATTGTGATAAAACTTAGTAAAGAAAAAAGAGTGCAATCATTTTGTGACGAATTACAAATTTTATAAACTTACAAAGTCTAAATATATAATTACAATGTCGAAAGCAAATACATATTTACCAATTACAATTTAATTTGAAGCTGAAGGATCGTCTTCAAAATTAAATGTTAATCTATTAAATTTATCGATCCATTCTTGACTTGCCGGAGAAATTGTATCCTATAAACGTTGATCGGCACGATCTCAATCCTTAATGCAGACCAAGGCTTCAACAATGTCCCTTTGCAATGCGTTTCGGCGTTCCTCAAGTATTCGTTCCGTCATACTGAAAGCTTATTTGGATGAAACAGTAGAAACTGTGATCGAAAAAATATTCATTGCCAATCGAGTTAAGATTTGCCAAGTTAATGCTCGTGCCCTCTACCATTGAACTAAGTCAATTGATTCTCTAGTACCGTCGACTACTAAGCTCTCATTGAAGTCGCCGCCGCCGCCGCCTGTTGATGAAGATCCACTCCCAGCTTCTGTTTGAATCGTCTTTTTCTTCTTCTTTAACCCGAAAACATTCAAGAATGCAGGTTTTCATCTTGTTGTTGCGGTTCCTGTACTCCAGAGTTTGTGTTTCTAAACCTATTCTCATATTTACTATATATTAAAAATATTTTTGCCTTTATTGTTATAAATTGGTCAGCATAATTGATGTCTAAAAATTCACCTAAGTTTTCTAAACCACTTTCTAAACCGTCTAATTTTAATTTATGATCAAAAATAGTTCGAAACCATACAATAAAGGCAATTTGGACTAATATTTTTTAAATTTTTTTCCATAGAAGCGATAGGAACTCCTAAGATTGGGTTCACCCTATATTTATTAAATAAAATACTAATTCTTAAAAGTTCACCTAAAGATAAAGGTGATGTTGGGTAATATGTTCCACTAAGTTTTAAAGTAACTTTATGAAACCTACCTAAAAATTGATACAAAACTTCAGCAATTTGCCAATCATATGCGTCTATATGTCATGTTCTTAATTTTGCACAGATATAGTTTGTTATAACATCCTTATAGGGGATGCATTGTTGAAACATAATATAAGTTGAGTTCCATCTTACAGGCATATTTTAAGGTTAATGCTTTAGGAGGTAGATTTAATGTTTGTAAGAACGTAAACCAATATTGTTCTCTTTGGCTATTACCTTGAATCTATGCAATATTATCTCTAATTCTTTTAATGTGAGTAGTCATTTCTTTTAAACCAGATTTAACTATTAAATTAATTATGTGGCATGCACGACATTGGTGGAAAATAATACCATCACCGAATAAACTTAAGTTATTTTTGAAGTACTCAATTGCTTTAGTACTTGCACTAGCATTATCTAATGTTATAGCCATTACTTTATCTCTTAATCTAAATTCATCAATTACATTTAAAATTATATTATATATTAAATCGGTATGTGATCCTAAAACACATTTGAAACTTAATATTCTCTTATCTAAATCGAATCTTTTAAAGTAATGTCCAGTTACAGCTAAATAATATTTATTGGCAAGGGCATACCAAATATCTGCCGTTAACGCAACGCAACCGCTAGTCGAGTGTAAGAGGTTTATTAATGCTTCTTTTTCTTTTTTCAATAATTTTAACAAATCTTTTATAAGAGTAGTTTTTAAGTGAACTATGCATTAAAATTATGTACAACTTTAATATATCGTTGCCAATTAGGATGCTCTATAAAACTAAGTGGTTGATCTAATGCAACTATCATTCGAGCAACTTCCATACGATTTACTTACAGATCGTATTTCCAAGTGGTTAGACCACCGGTTGCGCAATCAAAATATAATTGTGTTTGGCAGAATTCGGCTCCGCCAGACTGACTGACTAAGCTTTTGAAGACACTTTTCGGAGTGTCTTCTCAAGTGTGTTGTGCCATAAATAGTGTCACCTTATTATTTAGATAAATAATATTTACACTAAGCTATATGTTTAGTGTTACCATCATTGTCGATCTCCTCAATTGTGTCGAAGTGATCACAAACTGTCGAGGTGCGCTTGTATTTCCTCTTGGAGGTTGCAACACTTACAGACGCAGTAGCACTTGCACTCGCCACTTCTCCACGCCTGCCAAAATTGTGACCACGACCTCCAGCACGTCCACCAGGGCTTGGATTAGCAGATTCCTGCGTAATAAATTCATTAGTAGGAAATTTCTCTTCTTCCACGTTGTGTTGGGCATCAACAAGAATATCACTATAACTAAAAGAATCCATTATAAAAAATAAGAGTGATTTGAGAAAGAGAGCTTTAGGATATTGTGATAGTTTTTAGAAAAATTGTGAGAGAGATTTGAGAGATTGATAGAGATTGAGAGAAATTGAGAGAGATTGAGCGAAATTGAGAGAGTTTGAGTGAGAAAAATGTGTGGGGGGGATGGGGGGTATTTATAGGAAAATTTTTGGGTTAAAAAGTTAATTTTCCCCCCAAATTCGGATCCAATGGCCATTTTTTTCTCGGCGGGTCGGGTTCAGGCCGAAAATCGGGCAACGGTCAGAAAAAGAGCCGTTGGAGTCGGCCAGGTCGGGCTCCTGTAACGCCCTCTAGAATTAAACATGTTTAATTATGCTAAACTGTGGATTATTAGTGTGCCTAATTTGATTTTCATAATTAATCAAGGGACTTTAAGTTATTTTCAATATTTATAATTTCACCCCAAAGATTTTTAGAAAACACACTTAAATTTAATACATTTTCCTTTTTTTCTATTTTTCTTTTTCCTTTTCTTTTCTTTTTATTTTTCTTTTTTTCTTTTCTTTTTTTTCTTTTCCCCCTTTCCCTTCCCGTGTGCCAGCCCACCCTTTTTTTCCTTTTTTCTTTTCTTTCTTCTTCTTCTTCTCTGGTTCTTCACGCGCAACCATCTCTCTCTCTAATTTCTTCCACCGCCGGCCACCTCCCTCTCCGGGCTTCCTCCCGCTGGCGTCCTCTCTCTCTCCCTTGCTCTCTCTCTCCGGGTTTCTCTCTCCCTCTCTCTCTCTCGGCAGTTTGGCCGAGAATCACCCAAAAAAAAAATGAAAAACAGAAAAATTGAGGGAGACAAAGCTCGAGCAACTGATTTGAGGTAAAACCCTTTGAAACCCACTCTTTTATTCGAATTTTAAGCTTGAGAAAGTTTGATTTTGGTTAGATTTGAATAATTTTGAGTTAGGGTTCGAGTTTGAACAGTTATTATTGGAATCGAATGAAATTTGGGGGTTTTTAGTTATTAGACTTGTTTAATTGATTATAAACTGATTTTGTTGGATTCTGGAGAATATATATTGAAATTGAACTTGAATTGGAGGTTTGGCATTTTTCCTATTTATGCCGACATGCTGTCGAAATTTCTTTAGAAACTTGTTTTTAAACTGAAATTAAATAGGAAAACCAAACCTATGAATTGGATTCTAATTTTTAAAAAGAACCCCCAAACTGAATTATAAAATCATTGTGAAAATTGGATTTGAGTCAAAGCACACTAATATGAAACAATTAAACATGATTGAACTTAATTCGTTTTAGGAATGAGAAATACTTCATAAGATATTACTTTTGTGATAAAACTAGTGCAGAAGGTCAAGTATTAAGGCTTTAAGGAAAGCGGAGGCTAGGAGAACTGAAGGCTAGCCCAGGTTTGACATTCGAGATGTAGGATATTCTTGTCCATATCCTTGTTAGCCTCATTTTAAATTATTTTGGCCAATGAAAATGTTTTAGAACAAAACATGATTAAAGAAAATGATTTTAAAGAAATAGCATGAGAATGCTATTAAGTTTTCCAATGATTTTGGAAATGAGATTTCAAAGCGTATCAATTCTTAAAATGAAATATTTTAAGGAATGATACAATGCATTGTGGCCTCAGAGATCTGGATGTGGGAATCGCATCCTTGGGGGCAGGTCCCGAAACCCGTACGGATCCGCTTCTTGTTTAGTGGAATTATGGCTCTGTACTTTTCATTAGACAGGCATTTTACCGCTTCTTGTTCAGTGGTATGATGAGCTGCACACTTTCATTATACAGACATATTCTATTATGTGAGTATTTCCTTTTTTT